GGGTAATTAAAAAAAATAACATCGAAGCGGACGGTCAGGTGGATTTTCTCTTCGGCCATCGAGTTCAGCAGGTCATTCGCCGTATCTGAAGTGGACCTCAGTCCGCGGCTTATATTCTGTATCGCGTCGAAGGATCGTAATGCACCGTGTCGTTATAACCAGTTCTTTAACGGGCATTATCTGATGCTACACGGCCGGTCGAAACGGATAATCTCGAATCGGCTGTGCCGATTCACAAACTCCGCGTAGGTCATGGATACACGAAGTCGGAAATAAGTTGTGGCTGACAAATAAATCAAACAAAATGAATTATTCGTCTCAGTTACGATGAATGAATTTTACGGAAAACCGGTAAATGGATTCTCGATGTATTGAAATAATTTAATGCTTAAAAAAATACATTATTTTTTCCTCAAGCTCTTTCTCTAGTCGAATAGAGATTCAAGAAATTAGAGCGCATCTGTTTTTAATATCTGTTTTTATAACTTGACTCGAGACTTGTATCTACAGGTATTAGAAAATGTTTTAATTTTTTAAATATATTTTTTTTTTTATCTTTATATAAATATAAATTAATCAAAAAGTGTATTACTTAAAATCTGCATATAGGATCCTATAATGCATCTCTTGATATGCGTTATGATGCAGTGAATCGTATCGCAAGATAATCATAAATTAACTTCGCCAAGGTAATCTTACTGAAATGAATGCCGGCATTACAAGATGTATATATACATATTGCGGGCACTTCAAATCACTCTTTGCTTATATAATTAATAATTTTTTTTTCTCGCGACGGCTTCAAATTGAATATATTTTTATCACTCAATTGCGGGTAAAAATGCGAACATTATATTGATACTTTCGCGTAAACGCATATAATTGGAACGGGGCCAATTATTTCCGGAAAGGAGCAACCGGGGTATATCACCTAATAACTCCTAATTTTCCATTAGTTCCGAGCCGAGCAAGAGAAAGCTCTTGTGTGTAGGTTCGCTTATACGCAGATCGCCCGATCTCTTTCGTGAAGTTTCATGAAAGGAACTTTTCCGTCTTGAATATCCTTATGATAATATATAATATAAAATTAATAAATATTTGCTTAATATACTCTTTGCATATTTTATCGCCGTATTTTCCATAATATTTTTAGCAACATACAGTAATTTAACACAGCAATAATGATTTAAATGGAATAAATTATGCTTATTACTGCGAAAACTTGTTTCTCGTAAACATTTTTTATCTTTCTGTAAGATTGAAAATATACTGATATATCTATGAATAATTTATATATACACTGAAAAAAATGACTAAATTAATAAATATTTATTTGCCAATATTTACTGCCAAATAAATCATTTATTTGAAATAAATAAATATCTCAAATCAATATTTTTCATATCAAATCAATACTATTAGTTTCAAATAAAGGATTCATTTGGCAGTATTAAAATAAATTTTATATATATAAAATTTGTATACAAAAAAAAATCGCAAATATCCGATGTACCTATATAAGATCACGTAAGCTCTTATAATTTTAGTTTCGAGATATACCGATACGAAATACGCAAAGTTGTACGAGATGAGTAAGAAATTATGGATTCGTCTGTGCCGAGAAAATTGGCCGCAAATGCGTTTCCCAAGTGGTTTTATATAACTGTTAAGGCAACTTTCGACCTAAGGTTAGCAGTCCGTCAAGTTGAGGCCTGCGCATCATAAAATGTCTAATGAGCTACGAGACTAATTAACGACGCGTCGAAGATGACTCGACGCTAAGAGTCCACTTGAGACTTAGGCATAATGCCTCAAAAGCTTTGTCGTGTACGTCGTATCTTTATTAAGCAAGCAAGATCTTCAAGATCTTCTCTCCTCATGACTATATATTCTCTGAAGAGATGCTATTTCTCTCGATCAGATTAGGTGAATGAAAGGCGAAGAGAATCGCGGCTGATATAATGGTCTATAGTGATAGAAAGAAGAGAGAAAGGGGGAGGAGAATGAAAAATAACAAACGGATTGTTGAATGGACAGAGAACGCGTTCGTAATTGCTGCAGCTATTATTCGATCTCCATACGATAACTGCAAGATATATTTGTAGCCATTTGCTAAACAAGCTTCGGTCGAAAATAAAAAATTAATGATAGATTAATTAAGAAATCCTTATACAAGAATATAAAGACATTTAAAAATGGAATTTAAATTAGATTTTGCAGATGCGAATTTTTTTGTCCGAAACATGTAATCAATTTGTGATATATCATATTAAATCAAATATATATATGTTTGTATGTGCGATTCACGATGAATGTTTTTTTCTCACGACTATAAATTTTATGATAAAAGAGTCGGGGTTTTTTATAGAAAAAATATTCTTGAAATATTAAGTGATCAAAATGCTATTAAAGTAATATCTTTTCTTTTCATCTAAATCAACTTTTATCAATGTAACTTTTAAGAAGTAATTTATATATTACATTATACTTTCTTTTTTTCATGTTTACTCTGACATTTCTTCGACAAAGATATCTTCCTTGTGTATGATTTATTTAATTCTCTCTTTCATCGATCGATCCTTTGACTTGTTCACATGATCCATCAGACACATGTTTGACCTTGCACGTGTTGTACGCGATCCCGCGGATCTGTTATTTCGCATCTCGCGATCATCCGCTCGCAGCATCCACGCTTCTCCGGATCGTTTCCGTAATCTGATATGCTACAAACCATCACGTGCCGGCAATTTGCCATTATTATGCGCATACCTGAGATACAGTCCAACATTCTCCAGCCAAATGCCCGTTTATTTTTGCGTTTCACAATGCAGAAAACGCAAAACGCCGGGATTCTCCGAATCTTGCGGTCGCGGTTTGCAGTTTTAATCTGTTTTTCGAAAACGCACGCAGATCTTGTGTGTCGAAATTTCCACATAGTTCGATTAAATTAAATGCAAATTAAAAAATACCTTTCGTATACCAAAATAATCACAGGTATACTGCATATTGCACATAACACTCGAGTTCATAAAAAGACTGGAAGCGCATATTGACGCAAAACTGCAAATTGATATCTGGTAGCGTAAAATGAAGATAAATATTTCGCGCGAGCGCAAATATACACGGCTTAATAAACATTACGTACGCTAATGGCAAAACTCGTCTTATAGCTTTCTTCAAAAATATGATGTATCGCCGAGAGAGTCATACACTCGCAATTCATTTGAATATTAACGAGCGATTTGTGTCGCGTGGCGGGATTTACGATAATTCTACTGGTCCCCGAGAGAAAGAGAGAGAAACTCCATCACGGCGGCGATTTATTGTCCGCATATTCTGCCCACGATGCACCGTTATACTTCAGACGTGAGCCGCGCGATTGCACTTTATCTAAACATAAAGAGAGAAAGAGAGGAAGAGAAAGAAAAGGAGGGTTTATTCCTTGAAAAATAGACTATTTTAAATCAATTTTATTTTTTTACAGATTTAATGAACAAATTAAGAATTTATTTATTTATTACGAAATTGCAATAATAATTGTGCACAATATTATATTTTAATAGTTTATTTTTGGGAAGGAGAGATTTGTTTCTCCATGAAAATAAATAAAACACATTTATTCAATATAAATTAGGAAATATCTGTTATATTTCTTTCTTTATTGTCTTTATTTTCTATTTTGAACAGAGGTAATTTTTAATCTGTTCACAATTTAATATAACTGTACAATGTAAATGCTTATTTGTATTTTATTATTCCAAGTTATAACTTAATGTATTTCGCATTAGACAGAATATATATATTGAAAGGTTTTTTTCTATTAACGTGCAAAATGCATTGTTTCTTAATAGAATATATTACTGTATCAAATAATTTAAATGGAATCAATGTTTTCATCACTTTGCCGAATTTATCACATATCCTTCATTATGGATTTAACTTATATAAATTGTATTCTCTCGATTTTGTCTAGTTTATTTTTTTAACGTATGTATAATGACTTAATTTCAGAACGCAAATGCAAATGAAAAAATGCAATTTTCATGTTTTATCGGAGAATGAAAATGTATTTATTTATTTACGTATATCTAAATTCGAATTAATTCATCATTATATAAATTTAATCTCTTGAAGGAAACAAATGCCCTCTTTCTCACCAATCAGAGATTTATTTTTTAGATCTCTCGAATTTTCAATTTTTTATTTGATCCATATATCTGAATCATCGATCTCTAAATTTTCTACGATTGAATTCGAACATCTGTTTGCTCGCGCGATACAAAAACCCATTTTATCTCCTGAAATTTTATATTTGAACAGTTAACAAAGTTGCTCAGAGAAACAGATCCTTAAATGTTGCTGTAGAAATCCTCTCTTACACAAAAGTCGTTACATTATTTACGCTGGTATGGAAGTTCAGTTGATGTTTTTCGAACCATCCATTCTCCGGCGGTTACTTTCAAATACGGAGGAGATACTTCTCCTACAAGCAAGCAGCAGACTTTTCGATTTGCAATTGCCATATTTGTGTTGCAACCGACAATTGGACTTCTTGTGTCGCAATCATATGTTGCAGTTTCGGTGAACGATGAGGAATTGATCTATTTCTTAATTTCACGGACCCATTCCCGATATAAGAGCAAAATTGCCATAATAATTGAACACAAATACTTAGAAAGAGATTTCGATTTCTAAATTTTTTCATTAAAATATCCACAATATCTAGAGTTATATATTTATAATAAATTATTTAGATTGATATTGTTTTTCTTTTCAATATATTCTTTTTATTTCTCTTAATAGTCAAACATTCATTTATTTTTTAATTTTAATATCAATGAAGTAAAATATTTATTTAAATTAATATCAATTTTACCCATTAAAAATTGTATTAATATCTACTTCAAAAATGATCAAGTCATAGATCTGAAAGAAATCTTTGGGATTAAAAACCAGTAATTTATAAAATTAAAAAAAAATAAATTAGTTTTATCCAGTTAAGAGGAATAAAATAAACTTACTCTGAAAAATTCAATTTATTTAATTCTCGATTTAACATATAATTTCTCGTATATCAAAAAATCTTATTCTCCAAATTATTAAATATTACATTAAATTAGTATACGGAGCTTTGCATATATATGTACATTGAGAATAATTCAATAAATACAGGAACTAAATAAGGCACAGTGCAATGATTATTATACCATTATTACATCGATACTTGAATTACTCACTTCAATATCTTACTTCAATTGACTAAATATCGGATTGTCTTTGAAAGAAGCGCGCAAACCTGCGCGTTGTTTAAGAATGAATAAAATTTTTTCCTAATTTCATGGCGTTATCTTGTAACGCGGACGTAGACAACTCTCGATGTATCCTAGAAAATGTTTACGAACATGTACTAACCTGTCGCAAATGTAAAGCGTGAAAGCTCTCGCGGTCTATTTCCTATAAATTTACCAGCAGAGAAACACGTCTGCCAAGTGCACTATCTTCCCTCGAACATCTACCATAATGATGCGGTTGCAACAGTATTTTCACTTGATTCTTCGTCAACCTTCTTCACTTTCGAAAGTATCCGTCTCTTCTCTCGATTCCAAGTGTCCCCGCTACGTGTTGCTCTGTATCGGTGTCAGGATACTGGATTCCTGATCGGAATTGGGCGGCGTCAAGGCCACGTTGCCTTCGGCGTCCGCGCGATCGACCCCGGTTTCGTCCCCGGATTTGGCCAATCCTACGGCGTTGTTGACGATACACTTCTTGAAGTGGGTCCTCATGTTGCTGCTTTGCGAGAACCTGCCGCCGCAGTTCGAGCAGGCGTAAGGCTTGGTGCCGGTATGATAATTCAGATGAGTCTTGAGGTGATGCTTCTTGGTAAAGGCCTTCGAGCACAGGTTGCACTGATACGGCTTCAGGCCGGAGTGCAGCCTGGTGTGGAGGGTCATGTTGGAACGGTCGGCGAACGCCTTCTGGCAGACCTGGCACTGGTAAGGCCGTTCGCCGGAATGGGTCCTCAGGTGTTGCTTAAGCAACATCTTTCGCGAGAACGCCTTGCCGCATTGCTCGCACTGGTGCGGCTTCACGCCCGTGTGTATGCGCACGTGCATGTTGTAGGCCACGCGCTGATTGAAGCTCTTCCCGCATTCCGCGCATCCGTACTCCTTGCGATTCCGATGGATCTTCATGTGCGAGCTCAGGTAACCGCGATCGTTGAAGTACTTGCCGCATTCCGGACAGGTCGCCGCGAACTCCCGCGTGCCCTCGTGCACGCTGCGGTGGTACTTATAGTTGCGCAGCTGCGAAAACTGTTTGCCGCAATCGGCGCACCGGAACGGCTTCTCGCCCGAGTGTGTCCGGCTGTGCACCTGCGAGCATGCGAGCGTACGTCATCATCACGTAGACATCGACTAGGTTCAGGGTGTCTATAGCGCTCAGGGAAATCTGGAGAACCGGCCATTGTCAGGGAATTTATCTGCATCTTTTTACATTATTCTATACGTTTGTCTCAATAATTGGACATGTTTTATTCTATAAATGTATCAACTTTTTCCTTCATTCTCGGCACGCTATAACTTTCTGTATTGTAATTTATATTTTTTTCGTCGTGTTATTTTATTTCAACATGTTTGATAGAGACAGAACTAAAAAAATTTGATGCAAATAATATAAATAAAAATGGTGATTATTTAAATAGTTTATAGTGACATGTTTGTTTCGATTGTCGTACGTAATGCAGATTGTATAATTGATTTAAATTTTTGTTTTAACTTTCGAATCTTTTCATTGTTGACAAAAACATTTCAAGGATTTCAGGATTTAACATTTAATTGATTTATCATATAGATATATGAAAATTATATATTTGGAAAAAATAATACTTAAAAGTCAGGGAAAAAATCAACTTCTGGTCTTGCAAAAAGTCAAGGATTTTTTTTCATTGAGTCTGCTGGACATCGTGAAGTTGCTCGAGGAACTGAAAATTAGATGGAAACATCGAAAACAAAACCGCGACTTTGCATCTCTGCTATTTCTGCTATGTCTGACTTTAGAAAATTAATTACTTATGATATACAACATTTTTAATAGGACACAAAAAAGGATGGCGCGTTAATTTAATTAACAATTTACCTCAGATTCGTAGGAATGATATTACTTCTAAATTTTTATACAATTAGAGAGATTTGCAGGATCATGCATCTGCACACTGAAAAGAATTTATTGAATTTGAATAAGTATTTCAATACTGCCAAATAAATCATTTACTTGGAACTAATATAATAATAATTTATTAAGCAGTATTAAAATAAATATTTATTAATTTAATAATTTTTTTCAGAGTGCATGAAGGTTCGCTAAATTCGATATCAACGCCATAAAAAATAGTCGAATGTGATCTAGAAAGTAAACTTCAAGAATTGAAAAATAGTTAATTTATCCAACTAATTTTTTCGAGATCTATAAAAAATTGACATTTTCAGGAATATAAACGAGCGGTCTTTAAAAAATATATTTAATTAATTGATTTTCTATATAAGAAGCGTACCTTGAGCGATGCTCTCGTGACGAAGGTCTTCCCGCATTGATCGCACCTGTGATCATCGGTCGTCGATCGTCCTCGCTGAGCCACCTCGATCGTGCTGACGATCGCCTCGTTGTTATTATTATTATCGCTATTAACAAGAATCCTCGCGATTCTCTCCTCTCCCGCGTTTTTCTCCGCCACTTCCATTCTCGGGGAAGCTTCTCTCTTCTCGTCGGACTCGATCGTGTCGCAGAGTCTGCTGATCGGATGCGACAATTCCTGCTTCTGCGGCGTCTGCGGAACCGGGATCGGCGTCGTATATCCGGCGGCGTTCGTGATAACGGTGTCGTTAACGACGACGGGTAGCAATCGCGCGGGCGTGTTGCCGACGTTCTGGAAGGACGGCTCGTTGTTGCTCCTCGGCGCGATTTGATTGCCGGCTGCGAACGGGGCTGATGGAGATCGATAGATCTCCTGCACGCTCGTCTCCGGTGCATCGCCGACCGTCTCGCGCGATCCGGTATCATTGTTCAGGCTCATCTCGCAACTGGTAGGTACCTCGACCGCGTAAAACCCGTCGTTTCTACCCGGCGTATTCTTACTCGGGGAATGGACCCTCGGGCTCATCGATATTACCGTGGATCGAGTTGGTTCTGGAGTGCTAGGTTTCCTGTGAATTTTCTGCAACAGTCAATTCAATTGTCTTCTTATGCAATTATTAATCCCATTTTTTTCTCTTTCAAAATTATTGTTATTTTTCTGACATAAAAAGTAATGAACGCGGATAAATTCAATTTAATTAATTCATTATTTTGCTGTAAGCATGAATGTTCATTTTTATGCAAAGATAATATTAAACTGTGCAAAAACACGCATTACGTTTTTCTATGGAAAATGATATATGTTATATATCTGCAACATTTTTATTTATAATTGAGACGACTTACTAAATATATCTTTGTTTAGGAATAAATTAAAAAATTTTTTTGTATTATGAAATAATTAAGTTAAATAACGAAATACGTACAATCAATCTTAAAGTGCCTTACATTTAAAATATTTATTATTTAAAACGATATCCTTTAAAATTTTGATACATTATATAATAGGGGAGGAGGAGTTGTTTTTACAGTTTTTTAATTTATTCCCCTAAACAAAGATATATTTAGTAAGTCATCTCAATTATAAATAAAAATGTTGCAGATATATAGCATATATAATTTTCCATAGAAAAACGTAATGCGTGTTTTTGCACAGTTTAATGTATCTTTGCATAAAAATGAACATTTATGCTCACAGCAAAATAATTAATTAATTAAATTGAATTTATCCGCGTTCATTACTTTTATGTCAGAAAAAGGGCAACCGTGACATATTAACCGTGAAAATCGTTGCGTTTCAATAATTTAGAAAGTGATATCTAAATTTAACCGTCAGTTTACGTTATGATGGAGTGATACTTTTAGTTACTTACGATTAATTTTAAATAAATTTCATCAACTTAGAATGACAACGAAATATCAACATATTTCGAGTTTCTTGAATTGTCTCATTCTATCTTCTCTAATCGCAAATTACAACAATATTTTTTTCTCAATTCACAGAATTATAATATCTCGCGGAAGAAGAACGTCCAAAAATAAGCACAAGTAACTCTAATTCATTATTAATTGTTTAGCTCATTTTATTTAATTTTTGAACAGGGTATTAAAAATGAAGTTTTAAAAGTAATTTGGAACCCCTAATATATATTCTATGGGAAGACTATGTCGCATCTATTGCAAATTTATTCAGACATTGAGAAACAGTTTCTAAACGCCACGATCAGGCCAATAGGGCATAGCGCAAGAGTCGTGTATGTACATCTCCATAGTTTTCCATCTCTCGAATACTAAATAAAACGACTGCAGCACAAGCGATGACCGCGCGTAGGAATGCGTGCGCATAATGAACAGTTGATAGAAACAGAAGAAAGCAGCAATTAGAAAGTAGTTAGATTGTGACAATTTGACGGATGCGATATAGACTGTTTGAATAGTCAAATGACCCTGATGCGATAAGAAAAGCATTTAAAATCTCTTCATTCGCGTCTATTACAATTACGATTACATTCAACGGAAGGATCTTCATAATGTAAATTGCCGGGATTGAATTCGTGAAATAGGACTTATAAGTACGGTATCGGCTATTGTGATATTTTCGTGAAATTTATTGCATTGAATTATAATTTTCACGCTTGCAATATTTTTCTTTCATCTCTGCTATCGATCGTCATACTTTAATCATTTTCCGGAGTATCGACTTTCTATCGCATTTTTGCTTAGCTCGGTTGATTTCTTTTTTATTACAAGAAGATTTATATATATAGGTGCTTATATAGATCTAATAATTATAACATTTAAAAAATTATATTATATCTATAAATAAAACTCAGTTAAAAATCCTGAATTACGAATTTTATGCCTCATTAACGCTTGAATTATTAATAATTATTATAATGATTAATAAACGAAAATAACTAACAATCAATTATTCGTTCTAAATAGTTATATTTTTTCTCTAGATTACGTTTGTTATTTCTTTTCGTAATAAATATTACATTTATTTCCACAGCAGTATCACGATGCAACCTGTTGAATTAAAATAATTTACTCTAATAAAAGAATAATCTATATTAAATACATATATATATAAAAGACAATTTTATTACATGTTATAATTATTATTCATCATTATAAACATTTCTTTTCGTAATTTACGATAAAAATTTAAACACAATTTAGCTACATATAATATGCTTTTTTTCTCGAGAAAATTGAACTTATTGTTAAATTCAGATAGAGATCAGAGTATAATATCGGAGTCAAAATATCTCTTTTTGATCCTTACAACATTTTCTGATTACAACAAATAAGCTTTTTTAAATAAAAACCAATTCAATATAAATATTTGAAAGACTAAAAAAAATGTAACAGCCTGAAAATTTATATTGACTCTTCCTTTTTCTCTCACGGTAGACCGCGATAATTAATTCGCGAGAGGAAATCTCGCTTGGCCTCGCTCTTCGTCCTTATCCGGACGAGAGGATTGCAAATCTCGGTGCAAGCTGCCGCTTGCGCAAGAGTAGTGTGGCCGATCCATCCACAAAATCTGGCACGTATCTCCTGTCGAAAGAGAAAACGCGCGAAATAATGCGACGAGCGTGCAGCTGGCATCGCCAGCTGGCCGGGCGCAATCACGGCCTGATAAACGGCTCTCCAGGAGGGAGGAACGGGCTAACTGATAGCTGCATTAAACGGCGAAACGACATCGAACCCGAGTGAAGGGCGACGACGCAGCTGGAAGCTGCCGCGACACTCTCCGTCACCTGTTGAGAATACGCGAGCGTACAAATGGCGGACGCGTGAATTTTCCGGGTTCGCGCGTTCGTCTATAAGTGGATTTTTGTTCCTGTGATGTTTACGACCATCAATTAATCCTCTCTTCACACGCGCATCGTATATAACGTATACTATTTCTATTAATCACATAGTCGCAATAGCTTATCGGTTCTTTTTATATATGTTGTATATGTTATATAGAGAATTGACGTATGAATCGTATACGCATTGCAGTCGTTCTTTAATTGATTTCTAGAGAAACTCGATCCTATATCTTCCCGACTAGTTTGTGCGATTCGGGTTGCGAGCAAAAGCGAAATTTGGAAAGAGAAAAAGATCTTGATATGACAGAAAGGATTAATATTATATGGAAATCACGTAAGCAGCCTCCGTATTTTCTATGTCTGTCACACCATTTTATCTATTCACGAGGCTACTAGTACCGTTTTATCTGACATATAAACTTGTAATAACATGCACATGGCTGGAACTACATATATAATCTTGAATACGTGAGCTGAGACTCTCGTTTCCTCTCGTTTCATTGACGTCATATTGATTTATGTTTTCGTAGAATTCATTTTTTTATGTGAAATACATCGGAATAAATTAGCTTTTAGTATGTTACCATTCGCATTTGATGGTATAAGACGATAAGATATACATATCGAGAACTCTCTTTTCGTAGATTAATAATGAAATTTAAATGCCTAATCGCATTCAATTTAACTCATTCACAAATCATTATTGGAAGACACAAATAGAATCGTGACTTGTAAATCGAGATATCAAAATTGCGCATATGAAATTAGAGGTTTCAAAATAATGTAACGATAGTATACATTAATGCGGTAAGAAATCTTGAGAAATGTAAATAAAAATAATTATCTTTTTGATTAATTATATAGAATAATTTTTTTATACTTTACGTATATTTTACGAATACTCTAAAAAATTATATAAAACATTGAAGATTTATTTATGATTAAAAGTATAAGATCGAGGATTACTTTATAATGTTCGAGACAGTTTTTAATCGCCGTCATTAAAATATAATTTTTTTATACTTTACGAACCCGGAATGAATTAATATGTGAATATAAAAACGGCGCATGTAAGTGTTAAAAACCGTTTCTTTACATTCCTGAATTAATTAATTGAAGTGGCAAGAACGATTGATGCCGCCAGTTTCATGGCGTGCGAGAGGACCGCGGTTTCTATTTAATTAACATCGCGAGTTTTACCGCGAGCGATTTATAGAGACAGGCCGGAATATCGAAACCATTTTCTCTCATTAATCTCGACGCGCGAGACGACGATAACATAGCGAGTACGTCCGTGCATCCATGTCACGCTTAAAATGTTTCGCTTCTATGCGGCATTAATTAAGGGTTGTAACGGTTTATCTCCGGTCTCGCCGTATTTTGCGAAAATTGGCTGGATCATCGTGAGCGATGATCACTCGACCGCGATTCATGATCCTCGATAATTCTGCAAATAGATAGTTGGATTGCGAATCGAAGAACAAGGAATTACTACGTAATGTGTGAAATTTTTTATGCGTGAATATATAGGGGAAATAAGGGAGAGAAAGTTTCAATTATTTCGAGCTATCAGTTATTAATTATTCGAAAGTATATACATTCGTTTTTTATTTATTTTCTGGGTCTCTTATTTGAGAGAAGCGCTTCGCATTTATGCGCGGAAATAAATTAACAAATGTTATTGGCGAATGATTATTTATTCATCCTCATGAATGCTGAATTAGCTTTTTTTAATTTATGACCGTAAGTCGGAGCCCTTTTTTTTTTAATTTATTTGACAGATTAGGCGAGAAACACGTGTTCGGTTATGCCGTTCCAATGTTATTCACCTCGGCATAGATCCACTTGGAGGAATCCTTTATATATTATATGCTCATCGGAATACGGGGCAACGGGATTTCGGCTAATTCGAATCGAGTTTGGCATTAAATATGCAAAACAAGATTACATACATTTTATCTACGCTCGATGATTTCAAAGGGGAAAAATGCGATCCATAATATTGAAAATAAAATCGCTAAAAGGTACCATTTCATGTGCATGCTGCCGCAGCAGTTTGTTGCTATTGATGAAGTTCAATTGAACGAACAGCAGAAGCAGCAAAGCAGGAGAACACGCAACTAGTTGATTCTAATTATTATTATGCTTATATTAATTAAGTAATGGATTTTAATAATAAAATAGGTTATTATGAGAATATAAAAGCAAAATTCGTAATTTTAATCTTGAAATAATGAGAGAACAAAGAAATTTGTTCTAATAAATTTGAATGACGTGACTGATTTGCTGCTGCGTATGAAAAGGCACCTAAAAGCAAGTATATATACTTACGTCATCGACGTGACGTTGTTGGGGTATGACGGATCGCGGGATCCTCGGTGAATGATGAGGCCTGATAATCTGGCGCCACGGGGACGCGGTGACGCGATTGGCCACGTGTCTACGTATAGTTCTCCACCTGCAACAACTTTCGCCGCAGCTGAGATCCTCGCCCTGAGACGTCGCCGTCGTCTGCGAACCGTACTCGATCGTTCTCTCGAACGACCTCGTCCGACACTGCGAGGACGACAAGGACGACGCGGCCTGATAAGGACACTCGTCGGGTGTCCTTCGGATGTAAGAATCACCAGCACCTCCCGATCCTGCCGCGTGAACGTCTTCGTCCGTAATCGGCCTCTCCGAACGATGATTCATCTGCGGTCTCTCGTATCCCGATAATCTGATCCTCTCCGAGGGATCCAGACTACCGTAGCCTTCCGCGAACGGTCTCTCGGGAAGACACGTGGCGTCTCGCTGATAAATCTCGAAGGACGATTCGCTACTAAGAGCCATCATGCGATTCTTCTCGACTAATATCATCGAGTTGTGATCTCGATTCTCCGCGGAAGTGTCTTCTATCGTTCGATCGCGATACGCGAAACCCTCGATCGGCCACTCGTTCGAACAGCTGGGACCAAACGAGCTGGGACCGGGATTGTTGACCTCGCGAAACGTCTCGGAGTTCCTGAAGACGTCTCTGCCGCCGTCGGTCGGGAATATCCTGGACTCCTTCCTGTCGAGCGGATTTTCGTAGGACGGTCTCCCCGATTTGTACCAAGGATACTGATCGCACCGCAGATACTTGGGATTAACTTTCACATCCTTCACGTCTTCCTGTTTACTGTCCGCTTGCACTCGCTCGCTGCAGGTCGTCGTCACCGGAACCGGTGGCAGTCGAATGCGCAGAGTCTCGGCGGCGCGGAGAAACGCGTCCAGTCGCATCCGCGGAACCGTGGCACTTCCGGTGTAGACGAAGCCCAGAAGAGCCGCGAGTTCCGGCGCTTCCGTTTCAGCCAGGATCACCGTGATTGGCTCGCAATGAGCGGTGGTCTTGCTATGCGCCAACAATACTTCCTGTAAACAAAAAAAAGTTGTTTATTGTTATTAAAATCATTCAAAAAGTAGCAATGTTGAATAATTATTCTTATTATTTCCTTCTTTTTCTCATAGAATATATTATCGAATTTTATTTGGAATCAATAAAATTAAACATTTTGGAAACTAAATTAAAATCCAAAAATGTTTGTCTGTAGAAAAATTTTATAATTTCGAAAATTAATTAGTATATTTAATATAATATAATATCTTTAATTAATATATATATATATATATATAAATTTTTGGATTTTAATTTAGTTTTCAAAATGTTTAATTTTATTAATTACAAATAAAATTAAATAATATATTGTGTAAAAAAAAAGGAGAACATATGAATTTTTCTAAATGTGATGTTTTAACTCTACCTAGATACTAATGAAATGTAAGATGACTCAAAATCCGGATCTCTTTGCATTGATAAAAATTTACGATATCATATTACTTGTTAGTAGTGCATAAGTAATAACAGAAGAAAAACATGAAGCTAAGGAAATGTATCGAGAAATGCACGCTGACTGCATAAGTAGGTTAAATTTTATTAGCGCTCCCATTTTAAAGTTGAAAAAAATCTTACGAATTTTTTTATTTCTCTGATACATATAACGGCAATATGTAAATGTATTACTTGCTTTACAAGTCACATAGAAAATATAAGGACGTGTAATCAATTACAAGAAAAATCAACTTGACGAAAATTGTATATCTTTCCGCGATATCTTTGAAAAAAATAATCATTATTTCTTTTATTTTAAAAACAAAATAGCTATTCGCAATTTTAATAAAATAATAATTCTTTCATCTTATTAGTCATATTTTTTGATATTTTTCTAATAAAGTATCCAGTTCAATTTCATTAAATAATCCTGTATAAAACTTTTAAAAACTTGAAAAATTCACACATTTATAAATAGAAAAAATAATATTTGAAAAATAAAGAATCTTTCTCTCTAAGAAAGAAAAAAAGAATTTAACGGATCCGTTGAAACGCAAAGGGTTGATGTGAATTGTCAAAGAGAATCGTAAAAGTTGAGATTTCCGAATCGTTCAAACGTTCACTTTAAGTGCTCGTAAGCATCGCGCGCTTGATTTACAACATTCTTCTCGTCGTCATTATTCGCGCGGATAATGGAACATGAACAATAATGAATTACGTTTCATTGTTGCAAGCTTGAAGACCGCGTTGCACCGAGATAACTGTAATTACGCGGCCCCGGCGGTCGATCCCTCGATCTTTTCGATTTTTTAACGCGATAATTAACAGCTATTGGCCGGTCGCCGAGATCAGGGGAACCGATTTGAATCAACCTTCGCGCGATAATAAAAAAAAGTGCCGCGCACTTTTGTCCCATTGCGCAAGATCGCGCGAAAAATTGATTGCACAAACCCTCTTTAAATTCCACCATTATTATTGTACCTTTGTATAAGATTGCAACGATATGTCCACACGATGTGTGTAAAGTGAATGTCTTAAAATTCTTCCCGGGGCTTTCTAAAAGGAGTTCTCTTTCCGCATCAAACGTGGAATTTATTAATGTATTCGGATATATGGAGCCGCTCCACATTTCCATAAATATTAAGCATTTTTTTTCGACTTCCGGATTCTTCGATGATGCTATATACGTCAGGTTCGAAGAAACATTCTAGTCTTCAATCATTCTTCTTCTTTGCGCCGCTCTGCAACCATTTTAACGGATCGTTGACGACGAAAAATGGCGAGAGCATCATTCTTGCACGTAGAGAACGCAAATGAAACGTTAGCTTTCAAACCGGCCCGCGGCTCGATGCAACTTTGCACTGCACCGTTGCCTCCAATGGCGTAGGAAGAACTTTCCAATTCTTACGCAAGGATCATCTGCGCGGAGAGCACATATTTCATTTTTGCAACATCAACATCTCTCTCTTTCTCTCTTCCCACACTGAACAAAAATTTATTGAATTTCAATATAAGTATGTATTTCAATACTGCCAGATAAATCATTTATTTGATATAAGAAAATCCTTTTCAAAACAAATAAATATATGTATTTATTCGTTTCAATTGAATAATTTATTAGGTAGTATTGAAATCAATATTTATTAATTTAATAATTTTTTCAGTGTATAATAAACACTATTCCCATACAACATAAATTTCAGATCATAAAATCTAAAAAAGAAGCTTAAATTGTAACCTAAAGGAACTATAAAAACTAAACTTAAAAAAATCTGCAGTACTTATTTAGTCTAAATTTTAACATTTTTCTCTGAGCTATTTTTTAAATATGTGTATCATTTTTTTGCTGGAGAACCTTTTCTCTATTTATTATCCGTTTTTTTCTATTAAACATCTTTATTTGACGCGCGTCTTATAATATGAGATTTTAGTTTTGCACTTGGCATATTCGTTTATAATTTTCCTCTACCTATATGAAAGCAAAAAAGAGGAAGGAAATAGGTTTGTGGGTTAGCCGCAAATATATTCCTGTTACATTACTGTACAGCTACACCCTTGTAGCCGCAAGGCCGTGGCCAGGTTTTATCCTACTAGAGGTGAAATATCTCTCTCGGATGGCAATTACCTTAGATTACTTAGAACTTAGATTAGTATTTTGCATTCGAATCGTAAACATTTCCGGAGGTGTTGCAATGTCCCCAGTTGAAATAACATTCCATGTGCGATTACGGGAACGAATATGCATAATCAGATATGAAGGCAACGCGAGCTTTTTTTCTTCACTATCGAGCAACTATTAAGGTTAATGCCGCGCGTTTATCGACGAACTTTGAGGTAATTAACGATGTAATGCGTGCCATTATGCTTGTTTAATATCTCGTGTCTACTTTATAAATTTTTGTAGACAACATTGTGAAGCATACGAATAAATTTAGATACAAGTCTTCCGAGATTAATTTTACATTAAAGTTCGCACCTTGAGTATTTCTCCATATAATCTACATGTTAATGTATCTTTAAGTTGTTAATTTTTTGAAACATTTTTAAAAAAACAAGGAAATGTAAGGGATCAAATCTTTTTAAATATACACCAAATATTGTTACATATAGGAATTTTGTTTTGGAAGGGTTTAATTCGATTTAAATGTCTCTCTCTTTCTCAAGATATTTGATATTCACTAATTAGTTAATGAATCGTTAGAAACACTTCGAAGTTTCGTAAGAATTTTTTATTCCATTTTTTTTGGTGCGTTTTTGCGTTGCTTTATAGATCCTCCTCGGATGAAATGATGATTATCACGGGATGTTGTAGCAATTTAAAAATGTCTATATCCGCTATCTACAAGTAGTAAATAATAAACGATTACTGGTTTCAAGCTGTGAGAAATTTTTAAGACTGTTTACATCGATTCATACGTCGATTCATCGCACGCGAAACTGCGATTACACCATTCGGGATCTATCAATCAATTACAAATAAATATTACGAATAATCTACGGGTGTTATCTTCCGACCGTTAAATGATATCAAGCTGTGCGCGCCAATTTTTCACCCCGTTTTCGTAGATTTATAGATCAATCTATAAATGCATGAAACATTACCGTCGGTTAGGATCTATCAATCAGAATCGCGCATGCACAGCGAATATTCCGAATGCGCTTTCTATATCTCGTATGCGCGCGAAGCGATGCGATCTATCCTATTCACGTATTACGAAATTCAGGGTGCGATGGAGAACGTCGATTAGATCGTCATAATTACAGTAATCGGATATCAATTCTCGAAGCTTGCGCGAATGATTGACTGATATTTTTTATTGAGATTTTATAGTTTCCCAGTACGTGAAGTGACGCGCAAAGTTTCGCACTTACTTCGCGTAATTGTAGGGTATTGGATGGGTTGCATTCGCATGCAACCAATGCGTTGCAGTACTTCTGTAAATATGTACAGCTCTTGAAGAAAGGCTCAAGTGGAGTCGATTTCCTCGAGGCCTCATATAAAAAGAGTGTTTGCCAGAGACACACGATTTTATTATCTCTTTCTCTCTCTCTCTCTTGAAAAATGTCAAGACGTTAATTTGTTCAGCGCGAAAATTTCTTGATAAATATTTAAAAAAAGATACAAAAATTAGAAAGCAATTCTGTTTTTTTCACCTCCTTTAGCTGAAGATTTTTAGAATAATTGGAATTGTTTTAATATTTTTGCGCAACTCTTTTCGTGTGAAATTTCTGTACAGAACGAATCAGTTAATAGTGTTTACTCGTACTTTGGTTAGATCTTTCCAAGTAAAATGTTGGATATATAGTTAATACACAGATTATAGTATGTCGAAACTCTCTAATTTAATTTTTTTAACCGCGCTGTGAGAAAAGCAATAAAGAATTATAAAAACGAGCAATAAAAATAGGAGAGATTTAGAAGCTTATATGTAGGCTAATGTAATATCATCAACAAAGATAGTCACTGTTTGATTACGTAATTTGTCAAAGGAAGAATTACAAGAAAGAAACTTTCAAACCTCAAGATACATTATCCAATTTAGTATATAAATAACTAATACGTACAAATTACACGTTTCTAATGAGTAAATTAACTAAGCGCGTCAAGTTATCCTATCAATTTTGATACGACGTATTACTTAAGTTTATAATAGTTGAGATATAGGCATATATCGATTTAAAAAGAAGACATATATAGGTTTTCGTGTCTCATCATAATAAAAGTTTTTGATTCGCCCATTTTTTCATTCACGAATATTAAATAATACCTGTACAAATAAATAGCTTCTCTTAAGAAATAGATCAATTTGTTATTTATTCGGGCTTTTGTCAACTCATCTCGCTTATCAGACGGATTTAATGATAACAAGTGGAACGTCATTATATTACACCGGCATAAATTCGAGAGATCTCTAATATTTAACGCCACATTTCACACGCTTCTGCCGCGATTTTACAGCTGTAAACGAGTATATCATTTTCATTTTTACACTCTCAATTCGCGAGAAAACATCGCAAACATATATATACGTACGTGCATATC